CCAAGCCAAGGGTTAAGATCCCCTTACTGGTCATCTTTAAAAAAAAAAAAAAAAAAAAAATCTAAATAGGCTTAACAACTTAGCAAATTACTATTTCATGGAACAAGAAAAATTCCAACCAGAGATTAAGAAAATTAGCTGTGAAATGAATGATGATAGAGTTTGACCATGATACATACAGAAAAATTCAAGTTAAAAAAGATTAACATGTTAAAAAAATATATATTTTAAAAGACCCTAACAACACCTCACTCAAGTGTATATACATGTATGTATATGCACGTGTGTGTACATGCTGTGTGAATGTATGTGCATAAATATAAGAAACAAGTTTTACTTGGAATAACAGATAATCACAAACAAGCTTAATCAATCAACAACTTTTAGTTACAAATAACCACTTTGATGTATCATTCAAACATTGATAGATATTACCTTTCAGATGAGAATGAGGTACATACATGATCTGTGATATAGAGATGATTAAACCTCAGAGTTTAGTACTGCACCACAGTCCCAACAAGGAAGCAAGTACTTACAGTGTGTTAAGGAAACCGTCCCCACATCCTCCCTCTGCCTGCCCCCCTCTCCTGCAGAAGCATAAGCATGCTGGTGGGAGATGCTGGTAAACTAAACCAGGGCTGGGCTGGGGCGTGGCTCAGCCCTGCTCTCTCCTGCACACCACCCTGAGTTGATCTTATATTTAATTCCCAACTGGCTCCCCTGTCTGTTTCTCTGTTAGTAAAAACACAAGGTAGGGATCCAGTTGGATTTCTCCATCACTACCGAGCCCCCATGCCATAGAAAACGGCTACCTCGCTGAGCCCGCCCTTGCTTCTTCCTGTGCCTGTCAAGGTGGAGGAGTAACGACACCCAGCTCATCCACATCCAGAGCCGAGTGACCTTAGGCAAGTGGACAAAATGCTGCGTCTCAACAACCTTGAGCATGAAAAGAGGAGGTTCAACTCAACATCCCCTCAGGTTCTTCTCAGATCCACAGCTCCCTGCCCCACTGGACACAGGGCTATGAGCAGTGGTCATACCACACCTGGACTGGCAGTGCTCTGCCCCTTGCCTCGCAGCCCTGGCTCAGCCACCTGTTCCCCAGGAGGCCTTCCTTGAGCCCTACCAGCTCTGATGTGGACACCTCCCAGATCATG